ATGCTTGTAATTTGGATATTATTTTCTATGCAGATGCACTACACTACAAAATCACTCCAATCATCCTAGAATGATTAAATCTTTACAACTAGAGCTATTCAAATCATATATATATATATATATATGAAGAGTTCAGATGCAAAAGCCTCTAAATGCCATTTGAAATTTTCTTCTTTAATGATGATTTTTATCAAACTTGTATATTTAAGTTCAGTAATTTCACTTAAATAACAATTAATAGGTAATTATCATTGCTATTTAAGTGAAATCACTGAACTTAAATATACAAGCTTGATAAAAATTATCATTCTAGAAGAAAATTTCAAATGGGACTTAGAGGCTTTTGCATCTGAACTCTTCATATACATATATATATATATATATAGCAGAAAATCAAAATATCGCAATATTTTAATATTTCCAAATATTGTGCAGCCATAGAAGAAAGTAAGGTTTAATATGATACAAAGGTCAGTAAATGGCAGAATTATTTTATAAATCAAAACATTTTTACTGACTGTTTTCACCTCAGTATTTGCAGCTGTAGGCAAAAACTCTCCAGCTAAGCTAAAAATTACTTGTGCTTTGAGCCACATACTGTATATTTTATAACATTTCTCAGCTAATCCGAATTCAAATATTTAACCAGACTCAGTTTTGGTGTGCGGCTGCTAAATGAAGCAGGCATGAAAGCACACTAACTCTGCACTGTCATCGCCATTTGCACCACATCTTGAAGATAGATTCAGAGAGCCGAGAGCCACAAACCTGCAAACCCCCCTCCCTCCGTCCCTCCTTCCAAAAAAAGGGGGGAAAATAGGAGTCATTTTCTCCCTTCTAGAACTGACACTTTTTCCCTTCTCCCTTCTCACAGCGGTAGATTATCTTCCAATGATAGCACAGGCCGGGGCCTCAGCGCGGCAAGGCAGACACTAAATTGGCCTGCCGACACACTCGGCACTTATCATACATGCTAATGGCCCGGCTCGCTGTGGGCAGGCGGCAATCCTGGCTGGGCGGCCGGGGCACACTGAGACAGAAGGGCGGGAGCGGAAACCAAAATGAGAACGACAACCTCCACACTGCCTGCAGGAGGCAAGGGCACGGCCAGGGAGGACATGAGCGCAGAATTCACATCATTCTGCTGCAGGCACGCGTGGGTATGGTGCGGCATTGCTCTTTACGCGTTAGGGCCGAGGAGGGTATTGACCAAGTACTTGATCGCTTAATAACAGGCGGGGATGTGTTCCTGAATATGTGACAGATGACTTATGCAGTCCATACTGTTCCAGTGTTGGAGAGGTGACGATTTCCCAGAGAGAGAGAGAGAGAGGCAGCGACATAGAATAAAAAAAAAAGAGAGCGAGAGGTAGATACCATGTGCAGTCACATGTCCATGAGAACTCCCAGAGAGAGGACTTACATGGGGTCAGGATACAGTCAATACTTCCATGGTTTCAAACAGTCACTAGTCTATAAATAACACTTCCTGGGCTGGTACCTAAATTTAGCCTGCTATTGAATTCTCCCTCACTTAGCTATGGGTCACAATGGTCCAGCATCCCACTTAATGATTAGTGAGATTGAGGATTTATTTTTATTGTTAGTGTTTTTATTGGGACAGCTTTAATTAGCATACTGTAGTTAAACTGTAAGCGTTTTGCAAGTGTCATTCTCACTATGCATCCCTTTCATCTTTCATATCCATATTGTAAAATTATTGAAAAAAGTAGGCCATATCATTTACAAATATTTACATAATAATTAATGAGAAAATAAATCATTTTATATACGTGTACATTTTTAAATATCAAAAGTATATATACAAATTTAATTATTCCAAACTTTTGACCCGTAATATATATCATTGGTCAAAAGTTTAGAATAATTTAATTATATGTTTATATACTTTTCACCAGTGCTATTTTATACAGATAGAAATCAGATTAATTTTAATTTCATTATAATAATAATTCTTCATGGCAAAAACTAATATAAAACAATTATATAAAAAATAGTACAAATGCATATAAAAATAAACGTTTTAGAATTATTAAAATATATGGTTTCCATCTATAAAAATAAATCATATTAACTATTTTTTTTAATCACAATATAACAATTCAGTGATGTTTGAAGTTGAAAAGGTGAAACATAACAATGACGTATAAAATCCTCTAATAATAATAAAAATATATAGCAGTCCAGGTGATTTCAACCACGTATCAATTTTACACAGTATTCCTCCTGACAGACAGCACTGGGGGAGATAAAAGTCCTTGGAATGCCTGATAAACTACAGAATGTTCGGAATGGAACTTCACAGACGTAACAGGATATTATGGCTCTGAACGTGCTGTTCGAATTCAAAAGGGATGGAAAATAGTCAAAACAACTAATAGGGTCAGGTCTATTAAAACTGACCCATATCTGTGCAATCTGGAACTAGTCGTGCTGTGCTATCGTCTAATTGTTTTCATTAATAAAACGAAGACATAATATGTGTTTGTTCCCTAAATGATTTACCTTGGACTTAAATTTCAAATGAATCTCTAAAGAGAGTTCACTTCAAGGTAAACTCCATCCATCCATGGGATCTAACCTGCCTGCTGGATGCAACGTTCCCGTCTCCAAGCCTGTGGATCAAGGAAATGTCTTCTGAATGTTTAATGCCTGGCTATATTTCCAGGCCAGATATCAAATGAACTGATCAGGAAGCCTGGAGTCTGTAGAGACGGTCACCGGTCCAGCTTTCCAGATCCTGGAACCATTAGGGTCATTTATGGATATCCAGGGCCCTGGCAGCTCGAGAGTGGCCTTACTGGGTCAACAGAGCTTCTCTATAAACAGCTACTGAGCCTGGCTTGTTCTCTGCTCCACAGCCTGGGGTCGAGGGTCACAGATGGTGCCTCTGAAGATGGCGGCTCACCAAGCAGGCAGTCGACGTACAAAGCTGGCATTTCCACAAGCAGAGGGAGCCATTACGGCCGCTGTACAAAATATTCATGATAATAACAATATTACCATGGTCGAATTAGCAAGTCAAATATGCACACAGGCCTGCTAGCAGATGAGGCTTCAGAGACCACTTTGATCTTGTTGGCAAAAGCAACTTGATGATGGCAATTGAAATCAGTAAAGGAGAGCAAAAGGAAGGATGCGTTTCTGCCCAACACGCCTTGACCTTTTTCTTGTTTTGTTTTTTTAAGCCTTTCGTTTTCAGCGTATCATCTGAGAAATGATCTGAACTGAGAGACCATGACAAAGCTGTCATTTTAAGTAAATGTTTTCCCTTCGCCACATTTTTCTTTTTCTTAAACCTTCCTGACTGATATTAGCTATGCAAGTAATTCTCCAATGGCCCAATTTAAGCCAGCCAGTCGATCAACAGCGAGGTTCCTGCTATGAGACGCTGGGGGAAACGTGTTTAAAAAAAAGAAAACAAATTCAGGCTTTCTCTAGATGCTTGTTGAATAATGAGAGCATTTGATGGAGTATCATATAAAAATCATTGAATAGACGGAAGCGGCTAGTCACACTGTGTTGTCATGTTTAACGACTTTATTTCAACTATTCACTTCCTTCTCTATGGCCTCTAATTAGTTAACGTAGTGTGATAGCGTAGAGCTACGTCACACGTAGGCTCACTATTGGCCGACGCTAGTCATGTGTGTGATGCGTGTGACGTACAATAACAGAAGCTTACGCTATTAAACTAGTAACCTGACTCGAGGCAGAGAGAGAAGTAAATGAATAGTTGAAATAAAGTCGTTATTTTTGTTTTTGTTTTTTTGCGCACAAAAACTATTCTCGTCGTTTGATAAAGTTAAGATTGAGCCACTGAAGTCACTTGGACTATTTTCACGGAGCTTATGGACTAGTATGCAGGAGTGATCCAGCTCTCGGATTTAATCAAAAATATCTTAATTTGTGTTCCGAAGATGAACGAAGGTCTTACGGGGTGGGGACAACATGAGGGTGAGTAAATAATGACAGAAGTTTCATTTTTGGGTGAACTAAAACTTAAACGTAAAAACAAAAACGTAACCAGTGTAGCCTGGTTCCCCAAAACAAATGAGTCTTATGGGTCTGATTGAATAACTTAAATGCCAAATACCAAAAATGCAGGGACTTCTGTGTAGAATCCTGAATCAATGAACCAGTTCATTTCATATGAATCATCTGAATTAAAAAACCGCTTAGCTACTGTCATGCTAAAGAATCTCCCCAACACTGGTCATCAATGCCACAAATAAGTCCTCAGCTCGATCTCATGGAAAACTCCAAGAGGCTCATGGTTCTCTGTGATTTGTAAGTTTAAGTAATTGAACTTTACTGACAGCGCTGACCTTCATTAAAAATCCTGCTAACTGGCTGTCATGTAGAATGACACTGGGGTTTGTTCTCATTTGGTGATTCGTCGCGAGCACTGCAAGCTGCATCTGTGGCTCGCCTGCAGATGCCTCAAGGTCAGGAACCGTGTCCCTCTGCTGTCTTTCATTCTCAAAAGCTTGGCAAGACAAGGGGAAATCTAATACGAACCGTAGCAGCAAACAGAAAATCATGGGGCAGGGCATCAGGTGCCAACGTGGAAGAAGCACCCAGGCTTTGATTTTTAAATCTCCTTTCAATCTTTTGCACCACACACTTTTAACAAGCCCCCAGAGTGACTGCCAGATCCTTTCCCAGTCTTCCCTGGCTGAGGGAATTGTGACGGTGGGAAAGAGACAGGCCTTTACTCCCAGTCAGGCAGACAGGGTTCCAAGACGCAATTTCATGGTTTGTGGTTGGTGCACCCCAGTGACTTCTCATCCCCTTGAAAGCAGGCTGGTCGGGGATAGGGATGACACCCCAACCCCCCGCCCGTGTGTGCACGCACCCAGCAGCCCTGTCACCCCTTACTGTACGCTGCCCATTATAAGCACCCATTCTGCTTCCAGGATCAAATATTAATCCTGGCCTCTGAAATGAAAAATTGCAAAGAGGTGAAACCAACTCACCATTTTATTATTGATTTCGTGAAAATGAATCTCGCAGACCTTTTCCACCACATCCTCGTTCTCGAAAGTTACAAAGCCGAATCCTGTGAAGGAGAGAGAGAAAACAGGGGAAGAAAGGAAGAAGGGGGAAAAAAAAACAGATCATGATTGAAGTGAACCAACACAGAGGCAGTTAAATGAACAGGAAAAAAGCAACAAATATCTGTTGATTGCTATTATCGTATGGAGCAGGCATAAATGAGCCATTGAATCGTGCAGCAATCTTCCTTTTATCTGGTCCTAATGCCATGCAAATTATGTATCTAGTACAGAGCAGGAACTCTTTTGCTGTTAAAATGAAGAAGTCCTGGGCACTATTAAAATAGCTCTGAGTCTGCTCCTCGGAGATGGGGGAAGCTCAAAGCTGTTTTAATGGGATTTGTAGAGCCAGCCGCCATGTGAATTCCATTACCAAATATTTGATGTTTCTTTGCGAGTTTTTCAATACGTGACACACTATTTTTCCTCATTCCTAAGTGAGTGCCTCTACTGAGGATCCATTTTCACCTCACAAAGCACAACAGAGCCACACAATCCATAAGGAACGGGGAACATCCTGTGATTAACACCAACAACAACAACAACTGAAAATGCTCAAACCCATTAAGATCAACATTTAATACAGAAATTAAGAGATGCTCAAAATGTGTATGAAATTTTGCTATGTATAAATCACATTCTTTATGTCATTTTGAATAGAATTGGGATATAACAATTGTAATAAAACAATTGCAACCAGATGGCAGAGACTTTCTTCTCTGAAAGAAATGGAAAATGGTTATTAGGGAGAAAATAATATCTGTAGAAAAAAAATATATTGTAAAAGTCATGATAATTACAAACAATATTTTGAAGTTGTGGTGGCTATGCCTCTTCACACACCCTCACACTTAAGTGTGCTGCGCTCTACAAGCCTTCAAGTAACAGCAACAAGAACAGCCAAGATAGAGCACTTGCCCTGCTGCTTTAAGACAAGGCATTTGGCTTTTAAGAAAGTGAGAGATAAGTCCCGGGGTCAACAGGTCAAAGGGGTTGACAGCAAACCCAAAACAGGACGGCGTGGAGCCCCTCTCAACACCGGCCGTGATAAGAGCAGATGAAGAGGCGGGAGGGATGATAAGAGGGCATGGGATAAACAAGCCGGTGGCCTCAGGTCCAGCGCCGCGTGACCTCTCAGTTATTATACATACAGTTTGTTTTGTTTGGGGAAGAAAACACCAGCTGAATTATCTGTTCCCTGACTCCATGGCAGTAAAATTCACTCCTCGCCCTGCTGGGGTAAGCACAGAGGTGGATCGCGTGCTGTTTAAAATCGACAGAACGCCATAGCTGTGCTGACTGATGGAGTATTAGCTACACTACAGCCGCATGAGGGCTTTGTATTGGGGCATGAGGTAATTAAGGGCAATTATTGTATGTACAACCTGTAGGGGTGATCTACGGTCATTGCCGCATTGTCATATTCTTCAAAGTTGGATGACGGCCAGTACCCCCTCATCGACCCTTCAGCCCGGGCTTAGGCGGCCTCGAGGGTTGACATCATTGACAGGAAGAGAGTTATGGAAGCAGCCACCCCATGGGAGGATGCTGGAACAAGATTCACAGCCAATTACCCAGTGACCTCTTCTCTCGCAATGGCTTCCTGTACAAGCCTATTAGAGCTTCATGTGACTGATCAGACCTGATGATTCGATGCAGGCTGGAACAGGTCCTCCCATTACTCCATTGCCCTGTCTAGTTGGCTCTACCTTTCCCAGCAAGGATCTAGGGGGTGAATAAATGTAGGTGGTTCACACAATTCATGTCAATAAATACTGCCAGGCAGGCCCACAACGTCAGCCATTCAAAAAAAGATGTCACTGTTTGTGCGGCATTCATTAAGTAATTTTAATTGTTAACAAACACGATAAAGATGGATAGATGGATAGATGGATAGATAGATAGATGGATAGATGATATTTGCAGTGCTTTCTTTCGTGGCCAGACGCTGCATGCAAAGCACAGACTAACTCTTTAAAGAGCACCAATGCACATGGAAGAAACATCCCTGGTGATTTCAGCCCAGAGACATTTACATGTGTCTGCAGGCCCCTGGCTGATGGGGCTGCCTTTGAAATCATGAGAGGCAGTTAGTTTTCCATCTCGGGCCTCTGCGCCCTTATCAGCCGCACAGCGACCAGTTCTGACAACCAACAAATCAGCTGTCAGGAGCAATTTCTCAGCAGCCGGGAGGGAGCTGGCACACATTGGGTGGTTCGGGGAGGCCGTCGGCTGCGGAGGGGAGGGGGCGGGGGTTACAGTACCCGCACCCCAGCAGGAAGCATCTGAAACTTACATTCCCTTGCCAATTGATAGATCTACAATTAATCTCATAATTCAAACTGCCCAAAAGTGTAAAAATACGTAGAGGTGAGATTAGAGCTATATTTAAAGGAACTTACATGAAAAATCTAGTTATAATATCAGGTTAATGTAACTGTAAATGACAGGACTGATTCCATCTGAATCAGCATGTTTCTTTTTCTTATAATTTGGTATGCAATGTCTGTAGAACATCTGCAGTTGTAACACCATGTATTTCTACTGACCCACAAAGGTTATGCAAAAACGACTTCCTATTTTTAAGAAAATTCCCACTTCTTAATTATTTTAACTGAAATGAAAGCGGGTTTATTGGAATTTGAATATATTAAAATTATATCACACATTTATTTTTATCTATTTTTTTTTTTTTTTTTTTTACAAATAAATGGAGTAATAAATGTACTGATGTCCATGTTTTCTATAGGGTTATTAAATCAAATTAAATAAAACAGATGAAAGACTATCTGTGATCTTCTCATATGTGACCCGTGCTGGCAAAATGAGTTACAATGAGCACATTTTCAAAAAATGAGTTATCAGACAAAAAATAACTGAGCTACATCTATTCGAAGTCAATTTTGAGAAAAGTTGAGTTAAAAGTTTTCGGAGGATTTCAAAACAAATTCAACAAGCATCCACACCTGAATAACACCAAATCTGGCATAAATCAAGTCAAAACCCATACCTATAGAAATATATATAATTCAACTGTTTTTTTTCCATGATGCCACAATTGTTTGATTTACATTAATGAGACAGACCGCCAATATATTAAAACCAACTGTAATGCATGGATCTAATATAACGGTACACATCATGTTTTTCCCCAACAATTAACCAAACGTTCACTTAAGACATAACAGATATTCTTTGCGTGAATACTCCCCAAGATGGATATTTTGAAATACTGTAATTCTGTGTATGTGTGTATATCGGGATTGCATGCTGAGGTGTCTTTATGCACACGTTTCGCCTCTGGCAGTCTGCGCAAGAAAGATCATTTTGTTTACATCCGCATGAGTTTGAAAATCACAATTCATTGGTTCAGACTCATGCCATCAATAATCCACTGTGAATATTCACAATGTTGGAATGCTGTGTTTTATAATCACACCAAACTTGTGCTAAGTGGCTAGCAAAAAAGGCAATTTTTCATGGATTATTAAAACAAAGGAAAGATTTAGGAAGGTACACCTCTCAAACAAACACACAAATAAAGATAATTTTAGACATTTAATTATGATTTGGAGCATTGGGATCACAAGACGAGGGCTTAATGAACTCGTTTTTGTGAAACTTTGTGACTTTTCAGAGTTTTCAGACCAGCAAAGAACCAACCCTGCCAAACACAATCTCTGAATGTAACAAGTATAGCAGGAAAGATCAGGTAACGATCCTTCAGGTTGTCTTAGTCAGAGTTCAGGGCGCTATCGGCAGGGTGAGCTCTCGACCGGGCATTGGAAATGGCAGCAAATCAAAAACCTTCAGTGCTCCTAATGACAAGACCAGCGCCGCTAACAGCATCTCTTAATGAAAGAGTGTCAATATCGTGGGCCCTTCTCCACATCACTGCAAAGTCAAGCGAAGGAGAGGACGGGAACAATGCAAAACAACAGATGCCTCGACTCTGGCGGAGGAGACGTCGCATTTTTCCGCCTCAGACACCCCGAGGCATTATCTCGCTCAGTTAGTGACTTAACCACTCTGAACAGGCCATTTCCTTACATTGGAAACCACTTCTGCCTTACAGCCCACCTACACCAACGCAGCGATTCTACAACACGACACGCACATCTGTTTTGAAGCGGTACGCTTGAGGGAAAAAAAGAAAAAACGATTTTTTTTTTTTTTTTCGCTTAACTTGTCTTGAGATCCCTCAATGACAACACATGGATTTCCAATCTCGGGGAGGATAATAAGTGTTAGTGGCTATTACGGAGGCGTCTGGCTGCCATCTCACACTTATTAGCCAGAGCGAAGCAGGCTGGGTCTCAACAGACACACAGACATTCACAGCCTCTTACAAAACAAAGAGCCACTGCCACGCTGAATGCCAGTCCCCCTCGGAGCCGAGCACAAATAAAATTAAAATGCTAAATCAATGAGCCTTCCTCTGACCTTTGCTTAAAAAGCTGAGGGCGCCTGGAGCAGTTCGATGTATTTAAAGGGAAGAGGTACACGACCGAATCAGATATTATTACGGCCACCTCGTATCCTTTCCAGAGACCAGAGATGGTAAATAGATTGTGTGTTGCATATAAAATGGCGGGGGGAAATGGCATGCCTATGGAACATCTCACGAATGCACGGACACGCTCGCAAGCGCGTGCACGCAAAATGGTGCGGATGGAGGATCACATGAATCTGTGATTCATACAATGGTATGCAAGATCAGATGCTGAATAATATATGACCTAAAGATGAGCTCTGTCGGGGAATGCTAAAACAAGCACCACACTTGACACTGTGCGCTACAAAAGTTTGGAACCTCAAAACCTTCATTTGCACTGTATTGAACTGACCCAAATCCCATTCAGTTCTGTATAATTTCCAGATTTTATTCCCCAAAACATTTTCACCAGTTAAATTTCCATGATTTCAAGTTGTCAGAAAACTCCAATGGTTTTTGCTCTTTGCGACTGAAACTTCCAGGCCAAAAAAATAAAATAAAAAATGAGCT